AAATAGTCTCTCTACTTTCACGAGGTAGTGGTAAGATCTACGTATATTTTTGTTATTGTATCTTTGTATTTACTACTATTGGACTATGATAGTGCACATTTTTTTAAACTTTAAATTGAATATTTTACTAGTTGATTTTATATTTAAAAAGTCATATTTCTTCATTTTTAAAATTTTATTTACTTTTATTCCAGACGTAAATTATTTAATTTTTATTGAGATGTAATTTTATTCTAATGTCATAAAATGTTGTTTTTTAAAATCAAAGTCTCATTATTATGGAGCTCACAATTTACTACAATTAGTTTAATTGATCAAGTGTTCTTACAAATCATTGATTACCAAATATGCCAAAAGAATAGGGTGTTTAATTTAGTTAATAAAGATAGTCCTATTATAGACAATTAATTTACTAAGACAGTCATATTAATAAAAATAACCTGAGTATCTATTATAGTTGATCATATGTATTTCATGCCCCATATTTGTACCTAGATACTGATTATGATATACAATCGTCATTACATATTTCTAATAGATATAATCATAAGTTAGCCACGCACAACAGTTTAAGAGTTGTGTCGACTCACTATTTCAAGTCCAAATATTTATAGAGCATCCGCGACACCATAACTCCTAAATTGTCGAGCATTCAATTTTTGTAATCTGACACCAACTGAAAAATATATATACCATATATAACTAATGTATAAACCATGCAAGATCTCTCAGTAACCCTTTGTTGACATATCAGATATCATTAAACACAATTAAGAAAAAACATCTATCTACAATAATAGTAATTCATCGTGTTGAGTTGAGTATTCACAATATTTTTTCCTTACGTGCTTATTACGGTTGTTTATGTTAACTAAAGTCGGTTAGAACCTCTTTGTAGTTCTCAATTCTAATTAAACTAAAAACTTAATTTATTGATTACATTAGGCTAGACCGGTTAGAACCTCTATGCAGTTCTCAATTCTGATTGAACTAAAAACTTAATTTATTGATTACGTTAGGCTATACCGGTTAGAACCTCTCTTCATATCTCAATTCTAATTGAACTAAAAATTTAACCTACTTATAACAGTTGATTACATTAAGCTAGACCGGTTAGAACCTCTCTCTGAAACTTAATTTATATAACTCGACTTAAAAAAAATTAAAAATAATGAATTCAACTAACTATATAAAGATCCTTTTTTTTTTCTTTCAAATATTCAATGGAAAGTAAAAAGACTCACTTCTCCCAAAATATGAAAAGTGCTCAAGAATATACATAATAAGAAGCTTAATCACCAAAGAACAGTGAATTTTGCTGTTGATTTCGAAATTGTTTGGAAGCAATGAGGTGTAGGAAGCGGTATTGGGATCAATGGGCACCGAATGAGAGAAAAACAAACAAAAAAAAGTTGTAAGCTTTATAGTGGTAACTGTTACTTTTCCATTGTTTGATTACTTGTTCAACTCAGCTATGAGCTCAAGAGATTGCTCTTTTGCTAATTTGGTTTTTAGTTCACCATTTTCTTGATTTCACATTGTGTTCTTTCCCTTGTTTTCTGAGCGTTTGACACCTCAAAAGGGGGAAGGTTCTAGACAAGTTTTGCCTATATAAGTTGAGTTGTGAATTGTGGGTGTTCAAGTTATAGTTGTGGGGTTCTTTTCTTTTTTGTGAATTTGGGGTTTTAAGCATTTGTGGGGTTCAATTCTATTGAATTCTTGGTTTTTTCAACTATTTAGCTTGTGGGTGTTTGTGTTTTGGTCTAAGACAGCTTGTTAAGCTGTTGTTATTCAGGTATAAACCTAAAATGCTCAATTGGGGTTGTGATTGAAGTTTTATGGAAGATCAGTTTCTCTGAAGTTTAGCTTTCAGCTTGTTGTGTTGTATAACTTTTCCATCTTGAGCTTTGAATTATGCTTAGGCATTGTGTTTTTTTTTTTTTGGTGTTAGATTTCATATCAAACATCAAACCATTTTGAAGCTGAGTTTTGAGGTTTTGCTTTGTAAATTCATGTTGTGTTATAATGTTACCAGTTTCCAAAACAAAAAAAAGCATGTTGTGTTTTCCTAGCATTTTCTTTAAGATTTATGTTGTTCCTTTGTTGGTATACCTGAGGTTTTCACTCTTGAGATTTGAATTAAGCTTAGGCATTGTGTTTTTTTGGTGTTAGATTTGATATCAAACCATTTTGAAGCTGAGTTTTGAGGTTTTGCTTTGTATATTCATGTTGTGTTTTCATGTTACCAGTTTCAAAAAAAAATCATGTTGTATTTTTAGCGATTTATGATGTTCCTTTGTTGGTATAACTGAGGTTTTCTATCTTGAGCTTTGAATTAAGCTGAGGCATTGTATTTTCTTCATATGAGATTTGATACCAAACCATTTTGAAGCTGAGTTTTGAGGGTTTTCTTTGTAAACTCATGTTGTGTTTTTAGCATTTTCTTCTAGATTTATGTTGTTCCTTGTTGGTATAACTGAGATTTTCCTTCTTGAGCTTTGAGTTAAGCTGAGGCATTGTGTTTTTTTCTTCGGTGTTAGATTTGATACCAAACCATTTTTAAGCTGAGTTTTGAGGTTTTTCTGTAAATTCATGTTGTGTTTTTAGCATTTTCTTTAAGATTTATGTTGTTCCTTGTTGGCATAACTGAGATTTTCCATCTTGAGCTTTGAGTTAAACTGAGGCATTATGTTTCTTTTTGGGTGTTACATTTGATACCAAACCATGTTGAAGCTGAGTTTTGAGGTTTTGCTTTGTAAATTCATGTTGTGTCATAATGTTACCAGTTTCAAAAAAAAAAAAAAATCAGCTGACACATATTAGTCTCAAGACATTTTGTTCTTTAGATTACTCTTCTTTTCTCTTTTGCCCATTTGTTTTTTAGTTGAGCATTTTCTTGGTTCCACATTGTAGCTTTGTGTTCTTTCCCTTTTCGTCTGTGCTTTTAACCCCTCAAAAAAGTGAAGGTTCTAGAGAAGTTTGGTCAGATTTGTATGAGTTTTTCTTGTGGGTGTTGAAGTTGTAGCTGTGGGGTTCTTTACTCTTTGTGAATTTGGGGTTTTAAGCATTTTCTTGGTTCAATTCGATTGAATTCTTGGTTTTTTCAACTATTTAGTTTGTGTGTGTTTGTATTTTGTTGTTTCTTGAAGGAACTGATCACCAGTAGTTTGGTCCAAGACATTGTCGACAGCTTCTTCAGCTGTTGTCATTCAGGTAAAAACCAAAAATGCTTGACTGGGATTGAAATTAAAGTTTAATGGAAGCTCAGTTTCTTTAAATTTTAGATTCAGCTTGTGTTTATAGCATTTTCTTTAAGATTTATGTTGTTCCTTGTTGGTATAACTGAGATTTTCCATCTTGAGCTTTGAGTTGTGCTGAGGCATTGTGTTTTTCTTTGGTGTTCGATTTGATACCAAACCATTTTGAAGCTGAGTTTTAAGGTTTTACTATGTAAATTCATGTTGTGTTTTTATCATTTTCATTAAGATCTACGCTGATCCTTTGTTGATATAACTGAGGTTTTCCATCTTGAGCTTTGAATTAAGCTGAGGCGTTGTATTTTTTTGATGTAAGATTTGATATCTGACCATTTTGAAGCTGAGGTTTGAGGTTTTGCTTTGTAAATTCAGGTTGTGTTTTTAGCATTTTCTTTAAGATTTATGTTGTTCCTTTGTTGGTATAACTGAGGTTTTCTATCTTGAGCTTTGAATTAAGCGGAGGCATTGTGCTTTTTTGGTGTTAGATTTAATACCAAACCATTTTGAAGCTGAGGTTTGAGGTCTAACTTTGTAAATTCATGTTAAATTTGCATTTTTTAGCATTTCTTAAAGTAGGCGTTTGGCCATGGATTTCAAATACTTTTTACATTAGTTGGAATTTATGAAGTTGTATCCCCTTTTCAAACTGTTTGGCAAGTTTTAACTAAGCTGAGGGTCCATCGAAACAATCTCTCTATCTCAACAAGGTAGGGGTAAGGTATGCTTACACTCTACCCTCCCCAGGCCCCACTTGTGGGATTACACCAGATTATTTTTGGCCTCATGCAATTTGATCATGCATTGTCTCTTTCCAAATTATTTGGCATGCTTTATTTAAGCTGAAGGTCTATTGGAAACAACCTCTCTATCTCTACGAGGTAGCGGTAAGGTCTTGTACACTCTACCACCCATACCCCACTTGTGGGATTACACTGGGTATTTTGTTGTTGTTGTTGGAATTTATAAAGTTGGAATTGTGTTTGGTTATACTTTTTTGCAAAGGAAAGAAAGAACACTTTATTTGGAATTTATGAAGATGGAGTTGGAAAGAAGGTTTGGAGCACTACTCCAAATTTGGAATCCAAACTGCAAGTTGGATTTGGAAATTTTATAACCAAACTCTGATTTTGAAATAAAGTGAAAACTATTCCAAAAAAAAGTGTGTTCTTTAAAAGAAAATCACGTGAGTTGCTGATTTTGATGTTGATATATTTGCATCTTCTTATTCAACAGCTATGAAATTTAAAAGTATGTTAACTTGCTTTATGGTAGTCAGTAGATATCATTTCCGTTGTTGTATACGGGTCTCGACTCTCGACCAATGAGGTTTTCCTTGCAAATTTGAGATAATCATTTTCCTCTACGCTCCGTGTTTTATCCCCAAGAACGTGTTGTCATCTTACTTAGTTGTTAGGTCAGATAAGGAGCGGTTATAGGTTTTCAAAAGTTTGGTTTATCCGTGTCTGTTAAATTCAGAAAAAGTTATCCATTTTCGTCGTTATCGTTATTTATCTTTTCCTTGTTGTCGTTTTCCAAAAATATATTCTAAATCTTTCCTCTCAAAGTTGACCATTTCTTTATTGTCACCCACTTCTGATTGGATACTCGACTAGCTTTGCCATACTCATGAATGAGGTCATGCAATTTGGCACGTGTTTTTATTACACCTTGACGTCGTAATTATCAATTGTATATCCCATTTCATTGGACGTTACATACTATAAGTGTTTAACAATTTTAGACATGTGTATGACAACTGAATGTGTTGACAGGATGACTTCAGAAGTTGGCATAGATTCGACATCTGTTAAAGAAGCTAATGCTGGAAGAAATATAAGAGAAGGTAGCCCACTGAAAAAAGGTCCTTGGATTAAAGCAGAAGACGCGATTTTAATGGATTACGTCGCAAAGTATGGGGAGGGGAATTGGAGTTCTGTCCACAGGCGAACAGGACTTGCTCGCTGTGGGAAAAGTTGCCGTTTGCGGTGGGCAAATCACCTAAAACCAGATTTAAAGAAAGGTGCTTTCACTCAGGAGGAAGAGGAACTCATAATTGAAATGCACGCTAAGATAGGAAACAAATGGGCACGAATGGCTGCTGAGGTTTGCATCACGTCTCATTTTCTTTTCCAGAAGCTACCTTATTGTTACAGACAAAACTATATGAAATGATTAAAAGCTAAGAATGCTATGTGATACAAATCTTAACTATTCCCAGGGATATTAGTTACAGTTCAATATATAGTTTTGGTAAACAAAAATGTGTCATTTTCTCTTATTACCATTTAATTCTTGCTCTAACTCCCTACTTGGTTACTGTATATGGATTCTTGTATATAGACTTTAGTGTCATTTTCTTGGTCAAAAGTCAGGGTCGGCTTCGAAAAAAAATTGTTTTGGTATTTTCGGTAGACTGTTGTGGTGGCGGGTGCCAGTTTAGTTTAATTATATATCGTTCTTCAAAGTTATGTACATTTGCACCGAAACATAGCAGAAGCTGGTGAGTGTCAGCGCACCCTTATGTCCCTTTATCTCTGAACGTAGGTCTGCCTCTAAAGTTTAGCCTCAACATACTTATATGTAATATTAGGTGTGGTTGGTAAGGTTCATACAGCATTATCAAAAAGTCATTTAGTTATTGTTACACTTGCATTAGGTGTGGGTAGGAGTAACTATGAGATTTAGAGAACTATACTAGATTTTGTTAACTCTTAATTTGCCTTAAAAGACGATATTTATCATTGTTGGAATGAGAGGGATCCGAATAAACCAGATATGGAGGATTCATCTTTTTTATATTTTTTTATATAGAGGATTCACATAGCGGGCTGTGAGTAGTTTGGATCAAGACCTATTTGTTGATTGGTTGGTTGGTTGTTAGTGATCCCTTGGAAGACCGGGACATGTTCTGATTCAAATGAATGGGGTAGATAGCCAGTATCATTTCCAGGAAAAAAAGAGAGAATGAAATTACGGAGTGCTACCTCTATCTGCTAGTGATGATTCTCTCTGTCCTTTCCTATCTTTTATAATATTCATGCCCGTTTTACTTCATCTGGATGTTGCTTTAATTGAACTCTTGCAGTATATGTTATGCAGTAAAAGATGGTGGTCTTATGTGTGGCGAAACTTGTATGCAAATCATATTTGAATATTACTTTTCGTGGACTAAAAATGTGGACTCTCCTCTTTCTTTCAAAAGACTTAGTTGTATAGCTTTCATTTTCTAATACTGATTTTGTGTAAACTTTCTCAATTTGAGTGGTTGGTAGCCATATGACACATTCTTTGAAGTTGAATAATGGCTATTAATTTATTTTTTCATGGCCCTTCTATCCTCTCAGTTCCCTGGCCGCACAGACAATGATATAAAGAACTTCTGGAACACCAGACTAAAGAGACAACGGCGTGCAGAAAAACATATGCTCCCTCTAGGTGTTTTTTTCCAGGAATTTAGTGAGGACAAACAAAATAAGGAGCTGGCCACATCATCCTCTGCAAATTCAGATCCTCATCCCTTGCCTATTAACAATGTTGAGATTCCAACTGCGGAAAACAGAAATTTTGAACCTAGTCAGCAGTTGTATCCTCCGGGGCTTCTTAATATTGGTTTTAGTAGCTTTCTTGATACTCCTGCAACTAGCTTACGTGATCAGGGTCTTAATTCTTCCTGGAATACTCATTCTGTCCGCTCAACAGTTCATTCATCCAAGCGTATACGAGGATCAGAAGCCTGGTTCTCTGATCAAAATGTTGACCTTTCTCAAGCTCACCATCAATATCAAAATGATGGTTCTTTGTTTACTCAATCCTTGGGGTTTTATTCATTGTACACTCGTAATCTGACATCTAATTATCACCCATCATCCGCCGGTGACATTCCTGGCATCCATGCCTCTTCTTCAGAGCCCAAATTGAAGGGTAAGCTGGAGCTCCCTTCATTCCAAACTCCGATGACGAGTTGGGATTCACCTTCCTCAGTTCCTTCAATTGAGTCCTCCAATACTTTTATTCAATCTCCTCCAAATGAGTATACTGATTCTTGCAGTCTGTCACCCCAAAGCAGTGATCTATTGCATGCCATACTTTATGGATCACAAACACCCAAAGCCTCAAGGAATAATTTACATCAAGAAACTTCTCGTGATGTAGGTCCAGATTCTTGTCCTGTTCTCCGAGAGATTCGGTGGGGAACTAACCCTGATGCAATCACCCCTTCAGGTCATACTATTACATCAGTGTTTAGTGAATACACCCCTAGCAGTGGAGGTTCATTGGAGGACCACCAGTCAATAGCGCCTTTGATGGGTGAGAATGGTTACTGAATTGACTTATCCTAATTATCTACACATTCACAAGTGTTTAAATGCTTATGTCATTTGATTTTTCTATGATTTTGAAGGATGCAATGTTAATCAAGAGATGGATAACTTCACTCCCACTGCTGGGAATGATGATACATCAAACCACGATTTGTTTTCCGAGACTGATATGTACTTTTCTCCAACTGATTGGCCTCACGACAAAATGGAGTAAGAACCATATCAAATATGCTTTTGGGGTCTGCTCCTTTTTTATGGTTATAGCAGGGACTGCAAGAGAGTAGCTAACTGAGCAGCCACATTGTTGGTGGACGTGATTGTTCTACCTCAACGAGAGCATGATTTCCGAACATAATTTTGATAAAAATGTAACTTCCTCAGCTTACACAGCAGTTCAAGACAGTGTAACATTTTGTGTCCTCTGTAAACCTTATCTGTTGTAAGAACATTGGTCTTATTAGTTATAGCTTGTAAAACTGTTTGTCATCTTCAGTACTGCTGAAGCTGGTTTCTGGATATAAAATTCAGTTTTGTTGTACTGAATTGATCAAATAGGTTTCACTGCTACATGAACTCAGTTCAAATGATAGCCAGCAAAAGTACAAATCGAATATATTCGTCTCTAGTGACCCACGTAGTGGAGGAATAGATATGATCCTACTAAACTTAACTAGACTCACGTAATGGAGGAATATATATGATCCTACTACTCTTAACTAGACCCACATAATGGAGGAATAGATATGATCCTACTACTCTTAACTAGAGGTCTCGAATTCGAGCTCTAAGAATGAATAATGTCTTGGTGAGAAGCGCTTTATTGGACTTCACGTGGGGTGAATTCAAATGGAAGCGGACATAACACGACACAAATTCGAATCAATCAGGACATCTGAGGCAGATACTGAAGATCGGGTGGCAAACTTTAAAAAAAAGAAGATGTTTGTCTCTCCAGATATTCAGGTAGTTTTCACCAACGGGATGTGTTGGCTAACGGGCTAAGTAGAACAAGAAACTATTGTACACCCTAGTTTAAAATAAGAAGTTTTATATCGACAAAACAAAGGAGAGAAGTTGGGTATATAAGTAAACAAGTCTTGCACACTAGTGACGTGTTTCAAAACCGTGCGGGCCTAGACCTAGGAGCACACAATATCACTAGCAAGGTGAACCAATACAAATGGTATAAAGTCACTCATGTTATCAGTCTTGTCAATGTGAGACAAAGTTCAACTATGTTCAGGCAAATCCTAGTAAGGCGGGTGGACCAATGCAAATAGTATCAAAGTCACTCATATGTCAATCTTGTCGATGTGAGCTAGAGTTCAACTGAGTTTAGACAAATCCTAAGAAGGCAAGGCAAAACTCAGTGTTGAGTCTAGACAAATCTCATGCAATGGGACAAACCTCAGCTCAGCGAGGACGCTGAGTCCACACCTCGGCTTAAGATAAAAAGTCTCTCATCGACAAAACATACACTCTAACAACACAATCAGAAACTCTAACTACTGATTATTCATGCAAAAGCCTACTTGTCATAATAACACGGGGTCAACACCAGAACTCGCTAATGTCACGAAAGTACACATTGGTGTATTTAGCAACTTTCAGGTTATACATTACACACACACGAGACGTTCATCAAAGATGTCACAGAAACCTAATGAACATTTACCTTTCTATTACTATTGTTGTAGTTTCCCAACATTTCCAGCACATCCCCCCCAATATACATGCAACAAATTTTAACAAATTCCTACATCTAAAATCAGGTCCTTTGCCTGATCCTCCTCCCGTTGGTATCACCACCGTCTGAAAGTTGTGCCCAAACGCTTTTAGACTTCCCACCTCCACTGCTACTGTCATCCTCACAACCTGCCACAGTTTTAAGAAGCTCTGACTGAAGAGCGGGGCAATTTTCTTTAAGGTACTCAAAGCCATCTGATTGCATCACAGCTGCCAAAATACAAAGAAATAATAGATGAATGGGAATCTGTAGTGTGAGAAAATTACAGAACACAACAGATCAATTTATTTATTTTTAAATGGGAATACAACAGCAATAATAACTGCACCTTAGTCTCATACAAGTAGGGATCGGCTATATGAATCCTCACTTAACAGATGCAAATTCAAAATATGTTACTTTTGGATGTAGTAAAAGTATTCAGAATCCAACTAAACTCTGACAGTAATCAGCCATTAGCATAAGCAAGGTAATGTATGGCATTCATAACAACATTCAAATTAATAGCAATCTCTCATGCTGTAGCATAGCTTACTCAGAAGAGTTTAGGGGACTCAAAAATTATTTTCCGACTCCTGTAGAAACTTTTGAGAAGAGCTTCTGTAGAAACTTCTGATTCTCATAATCAGTTTCAATGGTTTATCAGAAAACTTGTTCGAGAACAAAAGTCAAAATCTACTTCCAAAAGAAGCGGCCTTTATAGTTCCCACAAAAAGCACTAGAAACAGCACATTTAAAGAGTGTTTGGTATGGAGGAAAACATTTGATGTTTCCAATTTTCTCATGTTTGCTTGGTCAAAATATTTAAGAAAACACTTTCTCTAAGGAAAACAAGCTCCTTAGAAATGAGGAAAATGACTTCTCTAATGAAGGTAGAGAAAACAAGTTCTATAAGTGACATTCCAAGTTCATTGTCTCCTCCCCCATCGACCCAACATCACCAATCCACACCACCCCCGAACCCAATATTTTCCAATAAAACAGTTTCCATGAAAAATAGTTTCACACCCCCTTAGATTTATATGTTGCACCCAACTACACAGGCCATAAGCTATTCATTTTTCCTTTCTGAATCAGTCAACAAGGATTGTAACTCTTTCAGTCTTTTCTACAGACATTTGACATCCCTTCACACTTGAGCCAAAAGACTGCCTTGCTAAGTACCACATCTTTTGACTCTTCAGAGTGTAGGGTTTTTTTAGTGGCTAAAGCTGTTTCAGCATCTATATAGATAATTCTTAGTTTCTGATTCTATCTTTACAAGAGATTTTGACTATATTGTATGACCATTAGCCGATTAGAGGCATCCTAACTACCAAAGCTGCTTGACATCTATATTTCTTGCTCTCTGTTAACTCTTATTAGAAACTACCTGAGACATACTTAGCATCAAGCCACAAACTGGCTGTGTATGAGCACCATAACGTAACAAGAGAGTTAAAATCTCGCCAGTAGAAAACATATTGCAGCACTTCCAATTTCTAGAATTCTTTTGGGAGAAGGCCAACAAGAGAACAACACATCCATACATACATATTTTATCTTGTCATTTCAAGTTCATTTTCCATAAGCATGTAATTTCAGTGGTTAAAATCTATTATATAAGAGATGGAAGTCTATGACACACCAACCAAAACCACTCATTCACTATATTGCAGTCAGCTAAATAGGGTCAAATTATTTTTAGAGAATCCTCAGCAGCCACTATATGTATTCCAAAACTGTATAAGATCTAGTTCTTTACGAGAGTCATTAACAATCACATTGCGCTAAAACTAATTGCACATACTCGCTAAGTACCCAACAATTCTGTCAGAAAGTTTACGGTGGTTTGGCAATTAAATAATTTCCTATTAGTTAATGGAATGGTTTGTGATTTCCTCCTTATTATACATTCATTCATGTTGGATTGGAACAAACTTAATGCTATGTTTTGTTGTATCTTTGCTATGAGACATTGACCATGCGCAAGACTCCTCATCCTCTCTTTATATAGTACTATTATGTTTGTCATTTGATGCACCACTGCTTCAGTCAACATTCCTTCTCAGATGTCATTGCCACCCACCTCCCTACCTCTTGCTACAGGTCCACTACAGGTAAACTACAATAAAGAGATAAAGAAAGAGGTAGGGAGGTGGGTGGCAATGACATCTGAGAAGGAATGTTGACTGAAGAAGTGGTGCATCAAATGACAAACATGATAGGACTATAAAATGAGAAGATGAGGAGTCTTGCGCATGGTCAATGTCTCATTGCAAAGATACAACAAAACATAGCATTTAAATTTTTGTTCCAATCCAACATGTGAAGATACAAACAATTTAAATCTAAAAGCATGAGATATCCACAAAGAAGGGAACATGATGCAAATGCAAATATCTCGTACCAGAAAGATTTTCAGCAGCAAAACTTAGGCAAACTGATTTGAGCTCAGCGGCATGGTAACGGTCTGCTAAAGCAAGAATTTGTGCAACAGAGTTGATAGAGATATCTTTGCAAAGATGAGACTCACACAACCTCCTCAGTCGTGTTAAATCATACCGATCAGCTGCTGATAACAATTTTGCTGTCAGAGTGTCAGATATACAAGTTCTAGTTGCTTCTAGCTCTTCTTCTACAAGATCATCTTTGTATATGAAGTGCAGCATAGCCTTGTACAAGAAAAATCCAAAGAGTAGTGAGTTAGAATTCCACTTCTAGATTGAAAGAACTCTAATCTATTTATGGCAAAAGCAAATATGAAGAAACAATTACAGCCAGACAGATGGAGAAATATGATAATGATATTAAAAACAAATAAACATTGAAAAAACAAGAAGAGATAGAGTTTCTAAGAGAAAATAGCCATAATAAGATAAAAGGAGATGCTCACTTTGAAGACCTCAGGTTCCATATCATTGACCACAATTTCCTGCGCATCGCCTTCATGTCCACACAAAAATTCAGTGTGGAATACAGGAGAACGAGCAGCCAATACCAACTTATGGGCATGAAACATTTCACCAGCCACATTGAAAATAACGTCTGAAGCTTCCATATTTTCCAAAAGCATGCCAAAATGTGCTCCCATGTCCGGGTCTGGGACCTGAATTGTATGCAAGCTCGAACACTCTATTGTAGAGCGCACAACTCCAACAGTGCAATTAATCTTCAAGCAGTCATCCTTCAAATAATCTGAAGTCTCAAGCAATGCTCGTCTAAAAAACCGTTTGTATCCCCTATAGCACACAGATAAACTACTTCAGGAAAAGTCTTGAGTTGCAGCATAAAAGATTATAGCAAAAATAATATAAAAGTTTGCTCAAGCAGGCTAATCAGGATGCTATAAACAAGATTATTCTTCTTTTTTTCAAGTTCCTGTCAAAAGGGAAAAGAATCTTTTTCCCAACAGGTACAAAAACTTCTCTATTTTTTTTTTGACAAAGGTAACAGTTTTGTGTATTAATCTTTAGCACTAAAGGCTG